GACAGACACTAGCAACTAATAGTAATTACTTATCACTCACTGGTGATTAATAGAATCTTTCCCCATCTTGAGGATGTGACAGAGAAATCTCCAACCTGTGGGGTAATGTTTTTTGATTGTCTAACCCGAGGCTCAGTCGAGGGAAATACAACCTGTTAAACCCTAAAGGTAGGGGATGATTATATTTGTCCTATCCTTTTATTTCAGTCACTGAACTTACTCCACTGACAGTAGTCTGCCATTTTTGTAAACAAAACACATATGGGGTATGCATATTGTCATTCACTTTTGATGGCTTCACAATTACCGATGACGCATTTTAATGACATCACTTTCTTCGGAAAGTATACTAAGTTTCAAAGAGATCCGTTAAAAAATGTAGGAGGAGATTGCCGGACAAAAATCAAATACTGAAATGAACAAAGGGCAATAACTTTTGAAAAAATTGTCGAATCAAATTTCTTTTAAGGGAAACACAACTTTATATCATGATTATGATTTATACCAATTTCAAAGAGATCAGTCTAAAAATGCAGGAGGAGATTCTCTGGACAAAAATCAAATACTGAAATGAACAAAGGGCAATAACTTTTAAAATAATCGTTGATAAAAATACCTTAAAGGGAGACACAACTTCATATCATTATTATAATGTATACCAAATTTCAAAGAGATCGGTCGAAAAATGTAGGAGGAAATTGCCGGACAAACAAAGTTTACGCCGGACGGACGGATGGACAACGCCATACCATAATACTACCGTCAAATTTGATGGTCGTATAAAAATCATTCAGAGGGTTGGAGATTTCTCTGTTATACCCTTAAGGTAGGGGATTTTTATTTTTCGCCCATGTTATTATTTCAGTCACAACTCCACCGACAGTAGTGTAAACAAAAACACATGTGGGGTAGGAATATCGTCATTCACTTTTGATGACGTCACAATTACCAGTGACGCATTTTAATGACGTCACAATTGAACACGTGCTTATCCGCACGAGGCTATCTCCCCCTAGGGGTTGACAAGCTGATCTTTCCCTGTTGAAGCGGGAGACACGCCTGTGAAGGGTGGGAGCATAAACCATCATCCATCAAATGCCTTAATGATAGAAATTATTCAGAGTGAACATTCACATTTGTGAATCTGATATTTTAATAAGAATTTTACACAATACAGCTGTGATGGCAGATTAAGACTTAGAAGCCGGTAGCCTATATTTTTTCTGTTTTACCTTTATCGGAAGCTTTAATTTCATCGGCCTAGCTACTGCCGTAACAACTGTATTATGATCTGCCCATTGACTTGGTAAATAATCAAATGCTGAAGTAGTTTTTTTACATACAAATTACTTCATGTGTAGATTATAGATTACTAATCATGAGCAGTTATGGCAAATAAATACGTGAATGAATTAATTAATATATGAATGAATTCATTATTATGATGAAATACTAAAATCACACTAAAAATCGAAACCCACGTGTGCATGCATCATCGCACGTACATTGTAAACGTGCTGTCAGTGGCGTTAACGATTAATTCTTAAATGTAAAAAGTTTACTTACCGAATTTCTGTCGACGGGCTTTTTGAAATAATCCCGTTTACTTGGTGGAAGGGCATCATCTTTAGACAAGGACATACTCATTCACATAAATGAAGGTCGGAGATAGGGAGCTTCCCAAGTTACTCGTCTACTGTTGTTTATCATTAACATCATGGTTATAATAAACTTGGAGGAGTACGGAAAGAAAATTCCGGAAAACATGACGCTGAATAAATATTTGTTCGAAAATAAATAAATAAGAAATTCAATCAAAAGTGATAACTCGATTATATTTTTTTGGAAAAGACATGAAGATACCCCTTATATCGTGTAATATTTGATGATAGTAACATGTGAGATTAAATGTGTAACGTTACGTCGATTAATATTGTTTTTTAAATTATTATTTCTCGAAAATGTTGTAGAGGTAAAAATGTACCGTAGACAATAATTTGGGCCCGTATTCATGGAACTGTTCACATGCTTAAGCATGTATTCTGTGCTCAAACCTACTTTCTTGTAACTCGCTTAAATAATCTCATTAAACGATCAAAATGTCAAATGTGAAAATTGCTTTGAGTCTCTTCAATTTTTCCTCCAAATCATTGACAAAATAAGAGTTGTTTATTAATTCATAACTAAAACAAGAAATAAGGCTTTTAAAGCACAAAATCCATTCTTGAGCATGAGATCGCTTTAATAAATACAGGCCCTGGTTCGGGGTTCGTCAAGTAGGATTCATAATCAATTAGTTTGCGACGCACATGAGGATAAATTAAAATAAAAAATCGTGACTAAGTTATTACCATAGCATCATTTTCCCTTTATTTTTTTATTGAATATTTCTTTTGCCTACATTTGTGGCATGTTTTAATTGTACGTAGGATAACGGTCGTCTTCTAGGTTCGCCTTGAGGGAATTACCGTTTAGCTGCTGCTCAATGGTAGAGTGGCGGACTGGGAAGCTGGGTGTCAAGGGTTCGATCCCCGGTGGAAGCATAAAACTCTCTAAATAGTCGTTACGGTTACACTGTCAATATGGAAGTTCAACTGATTTCCATGTGGATAGGAAATGGTCTGGTAATGTCATGATAATAGATTCCACAATGAGTGGTGGTTGGTATTGGCAGAGACGTATAATGTATTATACGTCTCTGGTATTGGTTAACATTTTTCACTTGTAACTCGAGTTACCGCAGAGGAGACCGGGACAAGTTCGTCAACCCATTTAAGACATTCACCAGTTTGAAGAGAAATTCCATGCCGTTCATAAAAAAAAATGGGCAAACATATCCGGGGCCGTAATGAAGATTTTTTGTCTGTCGGAAGATTTGATGGCCAAAGTACGTGCCCCGCCTTGAGGCAAGTTTGGACAGGCGGTCTGGGTGTAGGCCTCAGTTCGGCCCATGTTGAAATCATCATGGTTTTGACGTCATTAAACATGCAACGTCAGATTCCCCCGCCAGTTTCACGACTTTCTATGTGTTGAATGGGTCGAACATGCCCGCGGGTCTACCCAGCCCCAAATTGAACACGAAAAATCAATGCTATATGCGTTTATGAATACCGTCGGTTCACTGAAAATTCGCAAATATATATGACTGATTTTCTTTCTTATCTCTCCTTTAACGTTAGTAATTTAATACATCGGTTTTTCTCGCCATTTTTTTCCGTTTGAATATCTCGCCCAGTTAACTGAACTATTTGCTCAAGACCAAAAATATCAGGAATGACCGAACTGACCCGGGTCCCAACTTGCCCCGGTCTCCCCTACTATAAGTTAATGGTCAAATTGTATAAAGACACCAGGGCCGTTTTCGTTTAAACGATAAAACCGGTCGGGCCACTGTTGTTCGTTTATCAAATAAGGTCGGACCTAGTTTTCAGGCGAGCCTTGACAAAGTCTTGCAAGGCCTGCATTAACATTTGCAGGTCCGCTAGGATTTCTACCCGAAATTGTTACATTTATAAACGGTCAAACCGGTTGTTCCGCCTTGGTATATCGAGTGTCTTTACGATTTGAAAATTTACTTACTCCAATTCAGAGACATACATTACATAAATAAAAATGTAATATATACGTCTCTGTCCAGTTATATAAACACGATAATTGACCATCACGAGTTGGCGACTTTTTTCTCCCACAACGTTCAGATATTATATCTAGAAAATAATAGATTTCTTATGTTCCCCTTGGCAACACATTTACTATTTCTGTGTCCAATGAGGGAACAGTTGCTATATTATAATTTCTTTATTTTCTTCAATTTGAAGAGTTACAAGAACATAACAGTAAATTCATACTTAAACAATAGACTTATGTACAAAAATAGCATGACACATTAAAAACCATTACTCGTCTATGATACAATTCTTAGTTCATTGTGACTGGGGTAATATATTCTCAGATATACGTATATGTGCGTTTAAATGCATTTTATTCCTCCAAGTATTATATTTGAATCATATTGTAATCTGAAAAAGAGTGCAATTATCAAATAGCTCTATATCAAACTCAGTACTAAAGGCAACAAATATCGTATCGAAGTTTCTCAGTGTTTGTATACTGAAGGACAATGTGTGTGTTGTAATGACAGGGAGTAAAATACCACAACTCAATTACATTGGTAGATATCTCTTCACACAATCTTACTACATTCTTTATCCTACTCAAGTGCTGAGGGAACTTCAACACTAATTGTATCTTGAATAAACAAAAATCTTGTTAAGTCATAGTCGCTAATCATCGGTATTCTATCATGCACATGCATTATTAAATTTTCCCAATTATTATTATTTCCTTTTTTTGTGGTCTGAGCCATGTCATGCATGTTGCACGAAGTGAAGTTAGATGTACCAGTGTTGGTATTTTACTTTTTCAAGTGTCTCTATCTATACATAACATATAAATGGATTTTTACTCAATATTTAAATTACTGGAAAGTTACAAAAGAAAAATACTTCACATTTTCCTAGAACACTGGCTTTATTTTCTGATGAAAATCCCAGTATCGATTGCCTATATCTAGTCAGCCCCAAAATAATTATCGGGGACTTGACAATATCTCACTACTGTTATAACGCGGACTTGTAATACCATTCCGTGCTAGTACTTTAAGAGGTATTTGATTTCTAAGGCTGTTAACATTGTTCAAGTCCGATACTATTTTTTTTTTTTAATTTTGCATAATTGCTATTCCATGCTCATTCATTTCTACATGTCATAGCGCTATAGCAGCCTTTCCATCCACCACCAAGTTGGTGCGCCACCAGTCCTGATTCGAATTTCAATGTCTTTTAAATCAGGCAACTTTATCAGTTGTGTTATTTTTAAAGGAATGTTTTTTCTAAAAATAAAGTTTTTAATCATCAACGGGTCTATTAAAATCCGGTTGATTCTGTTACCGGGAAACGAGCTACTTTTAGTCTCTACCTTCAGCCGGTGTTATGTTTACGTTGCATTGGTGTCTTATTCATTAGAACAAGTGTGTCTTTTTATGTATTCTTTACCACTATTAATTAGCTTTGAATAAATTAACAAGTTATACTCGTCGTGTGTACGCCCGAGTCGTCAGCAGTAAAATACCCGAGAGATCGTCGTAACAGGAAGCGGAAGTGAAAATGAGGAAGATGAGACAAAAATGGCGGCAATAATTTCAGGACCAGTGCTTGCTTCACTATTTTATGATCAGTCTCGTTGTTCTGGTGATCAGGTATATGCAAAATGAACTTTTCATTATTGGGAATTTATCAGCAATTTTTGCATATGAATGAAATCAAATGGGTTTAGCTTTATTCACGATTGTACGCAATTTAGATTCCTGACATAGCTGACAGTGACAGGTCGACTGACTCATCAGCTGGCACAAAACAGTTACTGGATAAAGCCGATGCCATTTTGGGCATATCACGTATCGAAAACGATTATATGTGTCTGAATCTTACGTGCGATCGATATCATGCACTGGAATGAATTCATCTGTTAGTGATCACGATTTTTAATAATTATATTTCTGACTGACAGACTGATGTTTTGATTCATTTTTCATGATACATATGGTAACAAAACAAATGTATGTGTGACAGAGGAAGTCACTCATGCTTGATTATTATCAAAGTGAAATATCATTATTTATATTTGATTGTACCTCTGCATATAACATGTTGCATTAGGCACAACTGCACAAATGTGTATAATAATCCTGCATTTGGGTAGCAGTAGTTATTACTCATCTCAGAAACAATTTCCATTAAGCTATGACTGAGTGACATAAGAAATATACAATTTCGTCACACATTGTTGTACAGGTAAACAATACAAATCGCTCATTCAGTCAAAACTTAACGAAGGGAATTTGTAAAGTTGGTCTTGAAATGTTGCGACACTATATACATATGTACAATTGTAAATGTGTATAAATTAGTAAAACTTTGATATTACATATTTCCAAATGATGAATCGTCTTGAAGGAAAAAAACCCATTAATTGTTCAAAAATCAGTTAAGGTAATAGGTTTGTATCGTCATTTCTCAGTTGAATTTCTTCAAATTTTGTAGTTATATTGCTTTGAAGTAAAGAAAATGTTCTGCCACAAAAAAGATATAGGTTGTCTGCATGGATTTTAAATGGAAATTAATGTAAATAGGAGTGAATTTTGAAAAAAAATAAATGAAAGAAACAATTCGGCAAATATTGTCAATAAAAATAATACTGCCATAGATTAGTTTTGCATTAATGTATATCAATTTAATAAATGCTGAAATTGTGTAAAGTAATATTTATCTATAAAGGATTAAAAATTAACATTTTATAATAAAACCATATACACATAGTAATTGTTCTGTCAATAATAAACATACTGTATTCATCATTTTAAGATTTAACATTAGATTATGTGGAAATTGTGATATATACTGTCTCTCTACATTGGATTTTCAACTAGGGAGGTACTTCCTATTTCCGTTTATCAATACACTCATTCGACCTCAACATTAGGCAAATAGGGGCAGGCTATATATACAGAGTTTGGGCTTATGATGTATATAATTTGTAATATATTTAACAAGGGGTGGAGTTATATACTGAGCTGCGGATGGCCTTTAACATAAATGGTTTTATCACTGGCATACATCTGGTTATCAATAAGCAAAGGGGTACATATGTTTGGCATATCACAAAGCATTTGCTTAACCCTGTAATATGTATGTTAACAAGAAATTGGCTTAAAATTGAACGTAGCCTTGATATACTGGAGTGAGCTCGAGGCCTTACACAAAATTGTCGCTGTTAAATAATATTTAACATAAATCCATTTTTATGTACATCATTGCTATAACCATATGATATGGTTAGCAATGATGTACATAAAAATGGATTTATGATTAGAAATCAAAAGGGCTTATCATTGCTAATACATGAAGTTCAGAAGAGTTGGGCTTTTTATTAGCATAACATAATTTAATGGTAGAATTTGATTTCCAAATGAAATATTATATATATATGTATAATTAATGCTCTTCTGTTGGCAGGAGGGACTTCTGATTGGTAAAGTAAGCCACTCTGTGAAGGACACCATCAGTGATTCTCAGATAAACAACTACAAGGTTGAAACAAAGCTTTGTGAGTAAAACATTACTTGTGTGTTAAGTATTGGTTAATTGTCTTGTAATAAATAGTGCTCAGCACTGAGTTAACTTTATTTATGCTCACCCAATATCCGATATTCCAACTTCATACAAAGAGAAGACACTTATAACCTAATCGTCCTGCCTATAGTGGTTGAAATAAGGTCTTAGTTTGGGAATATGTTTCTCATTCTGTATAGTATAGTGTGACATGATTTATAAATGAGCTGTTGGACATACAGACCCATAACAAGCAGAATGCATTACACACTTCAGCATACCCCACACATGTATCACACACTGTGGATATAGGCTAGGGTCCATGTCAAGGATACAAACACTGAAACAGGTGTGTATATCTGCACCGTGTTTGGGGAGCATAGAAACATGTATATCCCACAACAGGATGGAAGGATGGCTTGGTATATATAATAATCTAGTACATAGTAATAAGAACATATGTTGGTGCGTCTTAAGTATAAAATATCAAAATATGCCGACTGTTTTCGGATAGCTAATTGAATTCCTGCCAAGTGCCTAAACCATGTTCATGAAGACAGAACTATTATCAAAAATTGAAAGGATACCTTGCCCAGGAAAGTACCTCTAAGCCAGATTGATAAACTCCTGCTTTATTTTCTGTGTATAATATTGGGGGAAATCACTCTTTTTCATGATTATAATTTGTGCAGTGGTACCTTTGACGTTCCCCTTAACCTAAATTCTGCTTGTGATCTTGGAAATAAAAATGGTTTATTAGAAATGAGCAAGTTAAAGTTGAAGTGTTTTCGATGTCTGCACGATGATGATGTTTCTTTTTTTTGAAGAAAATATGACACATGTGGTTCAATGTAATGTTTATATTATTTTGCTATTTCAGACATTTACTCTTGTCATGAGCTGCAGAGGAGCACTGCTCTTTCCAGAAAAGATCAGTTACAGAAATGCATCACAGAACAGATAAAAAAGCATGGAGAAAAGGTATGTTGTCTGGTGCATAGGCTGCTGTATTACCACTACAACTGTTGTTGTATATATGCTGCCACTGCTTTGAATTTCAATAACATTTTTATCATGATTTACAACCCATGCAGGTTCAGGGGAAAAAATGGGCCTGCTGTATTTCTCTGCATGGTATTGTAAGAGGCAATAATGTGACGCCTTATGTAGAATAGGCCAGGTTTTCTTCTGTGTCTTTTGCTTCACCTCAGGGACATTGAAGAAAAGAAAATGAATCTTCAGATCTCTTATCTTTTCTCAATCTTTTTTTTTTCTTGGTGTCCATCTAGAAACCCATCTTCATTATGACATATGACCCTGGCTGTTACAATGACACCATACAAAATGAAAAAAAATAAAAATTTGAAGTCAGTTTTCTATCAAAATGATCAAAATACATATCTCATAAAGTAAGCAGCTGGAACTGATAACTTCATGATAACTTGTTAATATGTTCATTTCCCTTTGAACAGTTTTATGATATGAATTTGTTTAAAATATAATATATATATTCATTGGTTACACATTTTCTGTGCTACAAAAAAGCATTGAAAATATCTAACATTGTACACTAGTAGAGAAATTGGGTTGAAGTGATTGCAATACGCTGTCAAATTATCCTGATAGGAGGAAGGTGGACTATCCAAAATTAACAGGGAAACTCCCGAAATAGCTTTGAAGATCTTTTTCACTTTCCTGATGTAAGTATTTTATACTTTCAGTGTATTGTTGGATGGTACCATTCACGAAGGAACACAGCAGCCCGGCTTTCTATGCGAGAGAGGAGTCTCCACCACACCATGCTGAAGTCGCTACCATCACAAGGCCGGGAGGACTTCTACTTTCTTTTGTGCACCTCCTCCAACACGCCAAACAGATCCACACATAATTTTGATTTTGGTTTCTACAAACTCAACAAAGAGTAAGCTTAAACAAGATAGTATTTGGCAATAAGTTAATTATTCACGATGGTCATTGACCTAGTAGACGCTTGAGGGTGAGTTACCCGTAGATGAAGTTGGATTTAAATATGATGAGAAAACTGCTTAAAATCATAATAAGTAATGATTGTTTATAATATTCTAAATAATAAATAATATCATTGGACTAATTATCAGTTATAAACAAAATTTGCAAATAATCAGTTAAAATTTGATCTGCAACCTCTGTGGTGTGTCACTGATGTTAAATCCCTTTTCATGTGCCTATCAATAAATATTGGATGGATGTATTATGGTATGGAAAGCTTCCATCAGGTCTTATTATGAAAAGTTCTTGTTACACAACCAATAGGTGTTTCTATGTGACGTTTGATGACTAGTATGGTATGTACTCAGTCACCTTCATCAGACAAATGACCAGTGAAGCGTATGTAAACTGTCACCTTCATCAGACAAATGACCAGTGAAGCGTATGTCAACTGTCACCTTCATCAGACAAATGACCAGTGAAGCGTATGTAACTGTCACCTTCATCAGACAAATGACCAGTGAAGCGTATGTACACTGTCACCTTCATCAGACAAATGACCAGTGAAGCGTACGTAAACTGTCACCTTCATCAGACAAATGACCAGGGAAGCGTATGTAAACTGTCACCTTCATCAGACAAATGACCAGTGAAGAGTATGCACACAAAGGTGTAAAATGTGTACGAGTTGTCCACAAAATCTCGCACATCTATGACCAAGTATTAAACAAAGCATATCTGAATCGAGTCATTTCAATACATATATAACAACTATTGTACATGTGACATGACAACTCGTACACATTTTACACCTTTGCGTGCATACGCTTCACTTGTCATTTGTCTGATGAAGGTGATAGAGTACATACCGTACTAATCATCGAAACATCACATAGAAACACCTATTGGTTGTGTAACAAAAACTTTTCATAATCCATACATACCAACCTGAAGAAAATGTTTAGAAACCTCCATCAGGTCTGTTAAAGCTTTGGTGTTTGTAACTTACTGAAATACCATTCAATTAGGATGAAACTTGGGAGAAGGCAAAATATGAAAAAGCTAATGAAGGCATTGATGTAGTTAAGTCAAACCCATACATATTTAATTAACATACTAACCAGATTCTGATAAAATTTGGTCAGCATTTATATATTATATACAAAGGCGAAGATTAAGTTCAGATTGGAGTCAAATCTGCCTTTATTTATGTAGCACTCAGGAATTTCATAAGTTTTAATTGTTTTTGATGGTAAATGGAAGCACAAGCAATACCTTAATTTTTATCCACCTCACAACAACATTGGGTAGAAATGGCCTGATCCTAAAAAGAAAGGGCATGTCTCAGATAAACATGAATAGTGAATTCATCTTGCACAACACACCTACATATATATATTTATATTTATAAACTACATTTTGAATACAGTTTTTTTAGAAGAATGATTTTGTTTTCAAAAAGTGTTTTCCCCAGATTTGGGACTTGTGAAAACCATGGTTACCCCAACAAAAAAACACCAAAAAATGCAACAAAAAACATGATTTTTAACCCCAAATTTGACCTCTGCAGGTAGTAATTTTCTTCACAAAACATGTCTTAAATTACATATCACCTACTCGGTAACAGAAATACTCACTTTTTAGCATTGGTTATTCTGGTGGACTTTTCACAATATTAACACATGTGCCGAGTACAAAAATAGACTAAATGAAAAGCTAGCATTTGTTGTGTAGACACAGATTTGTAAATGGCCAAACTGTAGTCTCAAACCAAATTAAAAAAAAATAAAAAAATTATGAAGCCCACATAGTCCACTTCATCATGTATATGCAAATTTTATTGCTGATTTTTTTTAAAAATTTTGATGCCTGTAATATTACAGGGGTTATTCTTTGTACAAAAATATCAACCATGGCCACCGTACACTACTGTACACTGCTACCTTAGAGGAGTATCCTGGCATCGGATTACTGCTCGTCCATCTGTGTTTCCATGTTGAATATTGCCAGTGTTAATTATGAATTTTATTTTAAGTCCAACTACGTGTAATCTTTTTCAGTGATGCTGACTTTGTAAAAGTGCCAATAACTGTTGTTAACTTGGAAGATACCACCAATAATCAGTACAAACATGACAGCAGTTGTACAGCATCAGCATCCTCGGGGATCTATGCCTCCGTCATCTCACAGTTCCAGTAAGTAATAGATAATCAACAGAATAGGATTCTAAATAAGGGTCCTATATTTGACCCTATATCAGAGAAATACAATTTTGAGATACTGTATATTTCAGTTGAAAGTATTATATCCCCTTTATTTGTCTGGGAAGGGGAAAAGGACATCTAACATGATCCATGTGTATCCCAATTCGGTGTCATCTCTCTCCACTTAGGTAAAGGTCAGGTATGAGAGCACCTCAGATTAGTTCTTATTTTAGTTCCAAGGTCAAAGCTAAGGTTACAATTGCTATTAAATTAATGCTGTTTTGGAAGAGAACATTGAGTAAATCTTTCAGGGAAGCATTTCATGATTTATTTTTTCATTTTGAACTGTTTCTCCTTCAGTTAAAATGTCGTATTTTAATTATGGTGTGGGTGCCTAGCTCCTGAACATTATATCTGATTACAGCTCACCATGGTAAGACAGTTTGATATTATCATTTATTATCATTGCTACATTTTGAACAGGTCAGAAGTCTTGGACAAATCAGGCCAAGTCCAGGAGGTGAAGAAGATTAGTAGCCTTGGGTCAGCACTACAGGACAAGTTACGGCTAAGTAACACAAAGTCCAAGAGGTGAAGAAGATTAGTAGCCTTGGATCAGCACTACAGGACAAATTACGGGTAAGTAACACCAGGTCCAGGAGGTGAAGAAGATTAGTAGCCTTGGGGCAGCACTACAGGACAAGTTACGGGTAAGTAACACAAAGTCCAAGAGGTGAAGAAGATTAGTAGGCTTGGATCAGCACTACAGGACAAATTACGGGTAAGTAACACTAAGTAACACAAAGTCCAAGAGGTGAAGAAGATTAGTAGGCTTGGATCAGCACTACAGGACAAATTACGGGTAAGTAACACAAATCCAGGAGGTGAAGAAGATTAGTAGCCTTGGGGCAGCACTACAGGACAAGTTACGGGTAAGTAACACAAAGTCCAAGAGGTGAAGAAGATTAGTAGCCTTGGGTCAGCCCTACAGGACAAGTTACGGCTAAGTAACACAAAGTCCAAGAGGTGAAGAAGATTAGTAGGCTTGGATCAGCACTACAGGACAAATTACGGGTAAGTAACACAAATCCAGGAGGTGAAGAAGATTAGTAGCCTTGGGGCAGCACTACAGGACAAGTTACGGGTAAGTAACACAAAGTCCAAGAGGTGAAGAAGATTAGTAGGCTTGGATCAGCACTACAGGACAAATTACGGGTAAGTAACACCAGGTCCAGGAGGTGAAGAAGATTAGTAGCCTTGGGGCAGCACTACAGGACAAGTTACGGGTAAGTAACACCAAGTCCAGGAGGTGAAGAATATTAGTAGCCTTGGGTCAGCACTTCAGGACAAATTACGGGTAAGTAATATAACACAAAGTTCAGGAGGTCAAGAAGATTAGTAGCCTTGGGTCAGCACTACAGGACAAATTACGGGTAAAGCACTACAGGACAAGTTACGGCTAAGTAACACAAAGTCCAGGAGGTGAAGAAGATTAGTAGCCTTGGGGCAGCACTACAGGACAAGTTACGGGTAAGTAACACAAAGTCCAAGAGGTGAAGAAGATTAGCAGCCTTGGATCAGCACTACAGGACAAATTACGGGTAAGTAACACAAATCCAGGAGGTGAAGAAGATTAGTAGCCTTGGGGCAGCACTACAGGACAAGTTACGGGTAAGTAACACAAAGTCCAAGAGGTGAAGAAGATTAGCAGCCTTGGATCAGCACTACAGGACAAATTACGGGTAAGTAACACAAATCCAGGAGGTGAAGAAGATTAGTAGCCTTGGGGCAGCACTACAGGACAAGTTACGGGTAAGTAACACCAAGTCCAGGAGGTGAAGAATATTAGTAGCCTTGGGTCAGCACTACAGGACAAATTACGGGTAAGTAACACCAAGTCCAGGAGGTGAAGAAGATTAGCCTTGGGTCAGCACTACAGGACAAGTTACGGCTAAGTAACACAAAGTCCAAGAGGTGAAGAAGATTAGTAGGCTTGGATCAGCACTACAGGACAAATTACGGGTAAGTAACACTAAGTAACACAAAGTCCAAGAGGTGAAGAAGATTAGTAGGCTTGGATCAGCACTACAGGACAAATTACGGGTAAGTAACACAAATCCAGGAGGTGAAGAAGATTAGTAGCCTTGGGGCAGCACTACAGGACAAGTTACGGGTAAGTAATACCAAGTGCAGGAGGTGAAGAAGATTAGTAGCCTTGGGTCAGCTCTACAGGACAAGTTACGGGTAAGTAACACCAAGTCCAGGAGGAGAAGAAGATTAGTAACCTTGGGTCAGCACTACAGGACAAGTTACGGGTAAGTAACACCAAGTTCAGGAGGTGAAGAAAATTAGTAGCCTTGGGTCAGCACTACAGGACAAATTACGATTAAGTAACACCAAGTCCAGGAAGTGAAGAAACTCAGTAGCTGTACAAGATAAGTTACAGGTAGATAAGGCCAAATAGATCAGTGATCCTACTTAACCTAAACTAGATGTTGGTGCCTCAAGCAATATATATTTTGCCAGTCTCAATGCTGTCTATAAATGATTTATTTCTACACATATATTAACATATAACTGAAATCAGGGTGTCAGCTGTCAGTCTGTATGCCTATGCAGACTATTCTTAAAGTACTGCATTCCAAATGTTCGACACTAACACTAATCCTTTAGTCTGAGATTGTTACATTTCAGATAGGATATCACTTGATTTACATAAATTATGAAAAAAGAATATTCCTTTTGGAAAAATTACATATTGCATGATAATCATCCAAATTTTCCTAAAACTTCACCATACTTTATCACAGTAAAAGTAATTTCATGGACACCACATTCAATTAATACTGTATTTATATTTCATGCTCGAGATGTTCCCTTATCTTTGAGTAATTGCGTTAACAAAGGACTTGCAAATCAACTATTCCTGTGGACTACCAAGTGAAATAGTTTTTATCTAACCCTGCATGTCATAGATTTCAGTGAAACTTTGTACAGAAATAATTACATTTTTTTTATCAGGTATTGGTTAAAATCAAAATGGAACTACTTGTTCAATTACAATGGAGATATATAGAGAAAAATGTAAAGACTTACTTTTCTTGTGACGTAAAGTTCAAAACTATGATGGGCTATGGCTGCAGTGGAGAACTGACCATGCATTTTAGCAACAAACTGTTTTGCATCAAGCTTAACTTCCGTGTAAGCCCAACTGAAATTTCGGTGATGCAGAAGGGAGACAATCATACATGTCTTATGAGAATGTGATGAAGTTCAGAACTTTTTGGCATGCTTTGAGATCCTTTTAAATGCCCTTAGCACACCTTGATAAAGAAAATACATGTATACTGTTTAGTTAAATTGGTCTAACAGGGTCGTGTTGGAATGAAACACTTAGGTACTGAAGTCGTAAAATTACACAACTGGTAGATTACATAATACTTCATTGATCCTTGAATATTTGTGGGGTTATTCACTTTCATAGGTATCCAACACACTGTTCCTGTGGTACTTTTAGTGAGAGCACACATACACCCCACGTTTTGGAATTTGGCTCATTGATCTATCTTTTTACAGGATTTGACCCGTTCAGTAGATCAGAGTGAGCGACAGCTACATGTACTAGAACAAGAGGTCAAGCAGCAGCGACAATTGATGGAAGTAAGGCTGCAGAAGGAGAAAGACACGAAGGCACACTCACAAACAACCCCGCCACCAGCTTACGATCATATTTCTAGTCACAAGGTCAACTCCAAGGTCACCCCTGAGGAGGCCGTCTCCATAGCAAAACAGAAACGTAAGACTGAGATTTGGCTGATTTATTTGCTGTGATGTCAATTTGTAAAATTTATCTATCTGATATACTATTGAGGATAGAAACAAAATATCAGCTGTGTTGTAGTAATTTTACATTTTTTGCAGATAATGTAAAATTTGCTGATAATGTAAAAAAAAAATAACAAAAAATCGCAAATTCACTGCAGGCGGCATTATTTTAAATTGACTGAACAGGTGAATGATTTTTCATCATTATTCATATACAGTAGACTCTTCATACACTCAGCAACTTTGTAAATCTTCATTAAAAGTATAATAAGCCTTTTCTTATCATAAAATCAGGATTTAACTTGACTTAATTTTAATTTTCATTATATTTTGTGTTGATATCCCTGATATTAAACCAAATTTCTCTTGACAGGGGAGCAGAGGCGAAGGGACACAAACAAATCTGCACATCCAAATGCATCCTCAGGACGACCTTCATCTGCCAAGCTGAAAGCAGATCAGTTGCATCCCTTGACTCGACGTCTCAGCTCGGAGCTGGATGAGCCGACACCCACTCACAGTCGTCACCTTAGTGATGAGATAGCGTTTATAGACGCAGATGTACCTGAAGTCACAGAACAAGAGGAAATGGACACAAAGTCTGATGATGAATTGAAGCAAAGAGAAAATATGCAGGATCAGAAAATTACCCGGGAACATTTTAAGGAGACAGAGGTCGTCTTATTGCCTCATCAAGGTCAAACTGTACGATTGACCCTACCTGATATGAATGTCCCATCAGTCACATTAAACCATGATACTAAATCTGACTCCAGTAATAGGGATCATTTCTCATTTGTTAGTGGACTTTTAGCCGAAGAAAAAACAAAACCTATTAAATCTAAAGGACTGGATAACTCCTATAATCATACTAATTCCATGTCTGTGCCAATTGGAGGTCAAATGACCGCCCCGCAGAAATCCACTTCCCAAGCAGCTGCTGTTAGTGCTGCAACAGTTGTGTCAGCTTCTATCAGCAACAAAGATGAAGAATCAACTCGTCAATCATCACGGCTACAGAAGCACCAGCTCACAACAACAAGTGCTGTGTTGAATATCAACAACAAAGGTCAAAGGTCAAGAACAAGGCAAGGTCAAGAACAACCTACTAGATCCAGGTCAAAAGAAGGAACAAAAAGGAAAGAGTCAAGTGCTATAAGTGTTAGTCACCCTTCATCAAAGGACACCAAGACAGTTACAAACAGTGTGAATAACCATGATCAAGACTCCCAGAATTCTTCCCCTGCTGTATGTAGATTTGAAGCAAACATTGAACAGACTCAGAATTTTGAGGAAAATGAAACAGAAGATATCCACAAAATAAATGATCATGGACAATTGGACAGCTTCAAGATATCTTCGTCTCCTGTGTTTTAAAAATGTCTGTTGCCAGATGAAATGTTCAATTGGTAGTTGTTAAGGTGTTGATAGATTTAAATTATACCATGGCTTGAAGTCCTCAACGTTTATCTTGATTCCTGGAACACCGTTTGTTGTGAACTTTACAATGCTCACAGTACAACTGAGCATTAGCTTGCATTAGGAATTACATCCACATCTACAAATGCATGTCGCTCTTGTTTTAAGTTTTGATATTTTTCCAGTTGCAAGTTTTGTTACTTTTTGTTATGCAATATTTTTGTTATAACCATAGATACTTTTTGTGAAGAATTTAACGCAAAACTGAATTTGAAGTAGTTCAGGTTTAATATGCATTCAATCATAAATGCAGCAAATGACTATTTGCTTTGTCACAAATTTTTTATAAATGAAGTACGTACTTGATTGATAAATTGTGATAGTTATATTAAACCTCTATTGTGTGTAAGGTGCTAATACTGCTGTAACTCAAGAAAGATAAACAACAAGTGTTTGTCTAAACCTATCTGGTGTAGCATTGTGTGTGTTTGTCTAAACCTATCTGGTGTAGCATTGTGTGTGTTTGTCTAAACCTATCTGGTGTAGCGTCGTGTGTGTTTGTCTAAACCTATCTGGTGTAGCATTGCGTGTGTTTGTCTAAACCTATCTGGTGTAGCGTTGTGTGTTTGCTACCCAGTGTATTCTGTATAATAGCGGATTATGGAATGTACATATAGATCCTAACTGTTTCTGTACCTTCGTCAGGGGCCTGTGAGATCTTTTATAAATCTACTTTCTTCAGGGGCCTTTGGAATCTGTTTATTTCTGTACCTTCATCAGGGGCCTGTGGGATATGTTTATTTCTGTACCTTCATCAGGGCCTATGATATCTTTTATATCTCTACCTTCATCAGGGGCCTGTGGGATATGTATATTTCTGTACCTTCATCAGGGGCCTGTGGGATATGTTTCTTTCTGTACCTTTGTCAGGGGCCTGTGGGATCTGTTTATTTCTGTACTTTCGTCAGGGGCCTGTAGGATCTGTTTATTTCTCTACCTTCGTCAGGGGCCTGTGGGATATGTTTATTTCTGTACCTTCATCAGGGGCCTGTGGGACATGTTTATTTCTCTACCTTTGTCAGGGGCCTGTGGGATATGTTTATTTCTGTACCTTCATCAGGGGCCTGTGGGATATGTTTATTTCTGTACCTTCATCAGGAGCCTGTGGGATATGTTTTTTTCTGTACCTTCGTCAGGGGCCTGTGGGATATGTTTATTTCTGTACCTTCATCAGGGGCCTGTGGGATGTTTATTTCTGTACCTTTGTCAGGGGCCTGTGGGATATGTTTATTTTTGTACCTTCGTCAGGGGCCGGTCGGATCTGTTTATTTCTGTACCTTTGTTAGGGGCCTGTGGGATCTGTTTATTTCTCTACCTTCGTCATGGACCTGTGGGGTGTCACAACTTCTATGTCTTGCACCTAATCGCTTGACAAAATTAATTCTTAGAGGTAAAGATGCTTGTGTGTGCCCCCATACTCGATATCCAGGGGTTATGTCTCCTTCGCTTTCTACACCCCTGGAATATGTCACAGCAAAATTGAAAGCACGAAGATAGCTGTTTGATTGGTCTAAGGTAAAAAAAAACTGAGCGATCGCTAGGCTGATACCTGTCCTTTGAAGATTACAAAGGAGAGACGCCCGACTTCAAAGCCTGTAAATTTTTACTGTTACGTGACCACGAGATTCTTTTGATTTACATCAAAAGATCAAATTAGTCTTCTTGTCTCATCAAAAAGTCGGGCACACCGAGCCTTCAATGTTGCTATGACATATTCCAGGGGTGTAGAGAGCAAGGGGGAGCATAACCCCTGGATATCGAGGATGGTGTGCCCCAGACTATTTGTAAAGTGACGATCAGTTTTTATTGTCATGTCGATAATCATCAACTCAAAAGATGTTAGATCACTGGTGTCAATATATAGGAAAAGTGAGATTTATTACATTTTTGTGAGAGAGATATACATGTTATCACTCTGAATGACCAGTCCGTATTTTTGGTTCACTTCAAAGCAGTATATTATCTGTTCAGATACAGATGAAGTTAGGGTAGAATAAGGGTCTATAGTACTTGTGATGAAGTTTATACAGATTACCTACGTAATTGATCATAACTTTGTATGCAAATTTTATCATTTAATAGATCGAATAAAACCAGGAAACCATGAAATTGGTGAGAAACTGTTTCAAAATGGCACAATGTCAATCAAAATGTCTGAGAATATGGTGTTCAAAATGAGATAAATAATTCCTGCATTGTCTGAATTCAATGATATTTTCGTGTTTATCCTTTAAAAATGTAATTAACCCTTTCACCACTGTAGACCATAATGGACTCATCCATATCAATGCATGGTAGAGTCTACTAATGTTACATAGGGGGAAAAGGGTTAATATCAAAATGTGATGGTTTTCATGTCGAAAAGAAATGATATTTTGATTGTAAAAAAGAATATGTTGATACTCCTCATTCGTGCTACACACTGACGAGAAATATTGGTATTCTGCCGCTTTGGTGAAGTATATACATGTGTGGTATTCTTTGGGGAGATCAAGGATCATTGGATATTTTCAGTGTAAAGTGAAAGATTTTCATAAGTAAAAATACAGAAAGTAATGAACAACTGAACAAAATGTAGTCGTTGTTTCAAAGACAAAAATGAAAAAACTTATAGAAAACCCCCCCAAAAAACCTGCAATAGGCAACTTTAAAAAAAAATCAATATATTTTTCTTTCACAAAATGTCCTGATGGCCTGTAGAATGTGACAGTGGAGTCTGCAGCATTACTTTAATGATGTATTAATGATTTCTTGTGAATAACAGTTGCTGTTCTAATCTGGAACCACCAGCCAAGTACAATCTAAAACCATAGCATACCCAAGATATGTAGTAATGTATATTTTATACTGATCTCAATGTGTATATAACAATAAATATGTGTACATATTTCGTTTTTGATTTGTTCAGAAATGATACTGAAAACTGCATCTGCAGATAAACTGTAAACATTACAATACTCTATAGCAAAACTGAAGTTAGATTTATACAAGTCTAAAGATTTATAAATAGTCTCAGCGTCACCTCTTTACCTGACAAAGCGATTGTATTGCATACCGTTTATTTCATGACATCATCTACAACTGTAGTAAAATTTCAAAAATATTGAAATTCAAAGCAAAAAGTTTCAAAACTAATTGGTTTTAAAATGATTCTTTGAGGACAGAAATTTAATACTATTTATCAACTACTATATTTTTTAAATTTGCTTTCATGATTCATTAATATTAATAGGCTTTAAACAATTCAGCTCAGAAATGTAAAACAAAAATAATAATAATGAACCCCATTTTTTTAGGAAAACAAAAAATGGATTAATCTGTAACTGTAAGAATGACTTTTTTCAGCATATCTGATAATGATCTATGTGTTCAATGTTATTTCACTGTATTTATAAACAAGATGATAACATATCGTACAAATAGTATTCATTAACTTGTTCACCCCTGAAGACACATTCAAACTCTTCCAATTCAAAGGTTGGAATAGTTCATCATAAAATTTCAGGGGTGAATGAGTTAAAACTTTCAAATATATTTCACTGCAAACACAACTTATTTGATAATTGGCAATTCTTAATATTTTCTTTGATACATGTTTGCTGATACATTGTATATATGTATAGAATAAGGGCATTTTATAGTGTCAGTTTTAGTCTGATAACCATAGATGTCTAACTAGGTTCAGGCAATGTTGTTATTCTTAATGAAAATTACATGGAAAAAGAAACCACTTTTTTATTTCAATGTTTACGACTTAAACTTTTTATAAGTTTGTGTGGGCATGTATATATAGTTACCTGAATTGTCACTTAAAGATAATTAAAGAAAGTAGATATCAAGAATTGCATGTAATGTGGAGATTCCCTTCCTACTTTTATAAGACTATTTAAATCTGCAACAAGTTAATATGGTACTTGTTGGTAAGTAAATATCAGGAACATATAGACTCAGTAAATATCAGGAACATATAGACTAGGTAAATATCAGGAACATATAAATATCAGGAAAATATAGACTCGGTAAATATCAGGAAGATATAGACTCGGTAAATATCAGGAAAATATAGACTCGGTAAATATCAGGAAGATATAGACTCGGTAAATATCAAGAACATATAGACTCGGTAAATTTCAGGAACATATAGACTCAGTTAATATCAGGAACATATAGACTCGGTAAATATCAGGAAGATATAGACTCGGTAAATATCAAGAACATATAGACTCGGTAAATATCAGGAACATATAAATATCAGGAAAATATAGACTCGGCAAATATCAGGAACATATAGACTCAGTTAATATCAGGAACATATAGACTCAGTTAATATCAGGAACATATAGACTCGGTAAATATCAAGAACATATAGACTCGGTAAATTTCAGGAACATATAGACTCAGTAAATATAAGGAACATATAGACTCGGTAAATATCAAGAACATATAGACTCAGTAAATATAAGGAACATATAGACTCGGTAAATATCAGGAAGATATAGACTCGGTAAATATCAGGAAGATATAGACTCGGTAAATATCAGGAAAATATAGACTCGGTAAATATCAGGAAGATATAGACTCGGTAAATATCAAGAACATATAGACTCAGTAAATATAAGGAACATATAGACTCGGTAAATATCAAGAACATATAGACTCAGTAAATATCACGAACATATAGACTCGGTCAATATCAGGAACATATAAATATCAGGAAAATATAGACTCAGTAAATATCACGAACATATAGACTCGGTCAATATCAGGAACATATAAATATCAGGAAAATATAGACTCAGTAAATATCAGGAAAATATAGACTCAGTAAATATCACGAACATATAGACTCGGTCAATATCAGGAACATATAAATACCATGAACATATAGACTCAGTAAATATAAGGAACATATAGACTCGGTAAATTTCAGGAACATATAGACTCAGTTAATATCAGGAACATATAGACTCGGCAAATATCAGGAACATATAGACTCGGTCAATATCAGGAACATATAAATATCAGGAAAATATAGACTCGGTAAATATCAGGAACATATAGACTCGGTAAATATCAAGTGATTGCATTTTTTTTTATGCCTATGATACACTTATAACATGGATAATGATAATGTAAATATACTGATTATGTACAGATACTCTGTATCTAGTTTTCACTACCGTAAAAACCCGTGTAATTTGCACACCTATGTAATTTGTGAAGGTACTTTTTGAGACTGAAAATCCAAGAAAAAACTCTGCTCAAATATTTTGTGCACCAATATGTATATTGTATTAACACATCTACCTGTTCTGTACAGAATTGCATCCTGGAGGGTTTGTTGTGAATCAGGAAAACAATTCGGGAATATTCACTATTGTGGTTATTATATAACTGCATTTTGAAGTCCATGCAGAGCTTATCTAATACTTAAGGCAGAGGACACCACTGTTGTCTAATCACTGCTGGGAAATATTTGTTTATATCCTTTTTGAAGGAAGTGTTTCGTAAAAATCAAATGTTGGTTTAAACTTTGTTTTATTCAAATGTTTGACAATACAGTCGAACCTCGTTATCTCAAACTCTCATAACTCGAAGACCCCGTTTATCTTGAAGTATCTCTCCGGTCCCGGCCAAATTTCTTTATCTTAGTAAATAAAAATCTGATAAATCGAACGCTGAAAACTCGAAAAACTCGGATACCTCGAAGTAAGATATTGGTTTCAATAGTGTGAATCCAACATCAAAACATCGTCTACTGAAACAGTGTTCAAATTTTATTTCGTCAATTATTTATTAAATGATACAAATAAAACGCAAAGCTACCGCATTTTGCCATTCCGTGTTTATGAACATCTTTCGTGAGTAGACTAGCATGAAATCGGTAAAAATAATTTACGATAAAGCTTAAGACTGTAAAGTGTGCGGACTGTCAAAACCACGTCGTTCATAAGAAAAACAAACTTCATCACAGTATTCTGTACTAACTGCGATTTCGTTTAATGATTTGTACACCCAAACTGACCAGAGTCCAAACAGGAAAATTGGTCACATTGAAATACAAATTGTACGTTATATAGAATATAAAAGGAAACAGAAACAAGTGTCATGACCCTTAAGTATGTACATTTTTTACCTGCTTCGTAATCAATTATTTCAACACTAGGTACAGGATTGAAGTAATATGAACAACAGAACAAATACGGGAATAGGGAAGTGGGTAATGGGTTGGTATCACATGTTGCCATGCATTTTATAAAATACCAGTCGTCCAAAATTTGAGAATGTTTGAAAATAGAAATAAGAAAGAAAATAGAAAAATACCATAGGTCGGGACCTTTACTTTACAAAGCCTACTCTTTATCAATGCTGCTATATAGGAATTATAACCGCAAAGCATCAAAAATGGTATCCAATTAATAAGCCGCAAAGCCCAAGAAAAACTTGACAGGAGGAGTTGATTTAAGCCAGAAAAAGTCCTTTTTGGTAGCTTTATGTTTCTATGTAGAAGGAAGAATACCCTGGTACCCCAATTAATCTCCGAGTAGAACTCTTCTTTGTGATTTTAACTGATGCAGTGGTACGTTTTACCCTAAAATAATTATAAAGATGAACCAGAATGATACAGTAAGATACTTGAGGTATAACCATAGATGATAATTTGTGAACTGCTTTGAGATGACCTAAGTTGTGATAAAGCGGTTTATAAAAAAACGCTTATTATTATTATAGATATATTTGGACACAGATTTTGACATTAAGACATACTTATGGAGCTATCTATGCTTTGTGTGGATAACTGCTGGTGTGTTGATTTTAGTTCCTTCTAATTAACATTGCATTGATCAGGCTACATGGTCTTGACTGGTTGTGCTAGGTTTCTTCAGTTAAAACTCTATATAATTGATATTGTGCTTTAAAAATGATGAGGAGTGTCGAGGGAAAGACGTACCAACAAGTTGTGCTCTATTTATAATTAGCTTTCGTTAGTTTATTGGTGAATTTGATCAATCCAGAACTTTCATTGGATAATATTCACAAAGTGTTTTGTGATTAACAGTGCTTCATGATATATTTATATGGTTAAAAAGAGCTTGCTACGTATTGTTATTATTGATTATTTCTAAATTGTATATATATGATGATTTGAAATATTTAAGTTGAAAAGTTGGAGCTATTATTTTGCTAAAGAGTAATTGATTTTCTATTGTTGGTGCTCTGCTTTTTTATGCTTGTACAGGAAAAGATTTGAATTAGACTTATATAAAAGTAAAACTGAGTGGGGCAAGAACCATATGGTACAAAAATGTGGTTGAATATATAAGAATGTCACAAGAAGAACTTTTACAAGGATTGAGATTTCATGCTTTATAAATTGTTAAAGAACAAAGCTGTTGTTTCTGATATATTTATTTTTGTCTAACTCTGCTTTTTCATCAACCGTTGCTGATGACCATACAGGTTAGGCCATAACATGTGTATTGAAATGAGTTGTCTCTCTTCCTTTAATGTCCAAAATTTCTGCTTATTGGTGTTTTTCAAGTACTGTTGCTTAACCCATTCATCCCTGAAGTCACAATTAGACCTTAACAATCAAAGATTGGGCAAGTTCAGCTTAAAAATGTAGGGGTGAATGAGTTTATGGTACTGCACCACCGAACTGCCCTGATATGAGAGACACTGTTGCTGACCTTAGTATGCATTGTTATCTATATAGCAGAAAGCTGATTATCAAACCCCAGGGGAGACATGTATCCAGGGTGGATAAGTGGTTGTCCTGATAACCAATTAAACAGTATTAAAGCTCTTTATAAGGGGAAAGACAATAATTCAATTAGTTTAAGAATTGTATCTTGGGTTCAGATGATCAGCAATCTACTGTATACCTATATCTTCAAAGCCAAATCACCTAACAATAGTTTGACATTCATCTTCTTTAAGAATCTTGAAGGAATCGCTGAAAGTCAAAATGAATACTCATTGTTATGTTTTGCGTTTCCAAAATATCTGACGAAAATATGATTAGTTGTGTAGATTTGAACAACTGGGTACAGGTCACTGACGATTGTTTGTAATGCTCAAACTAGAAAACTTTGCATATGATTGTCGGTGTCACAGCTTGACCCATCCAGAACTTAGCTTGAGAAGGAGCCAGGTGGTTGTGTACATTACTTCTGATTCCTTATTTCATATTTATCTAACATTTGTTCCTAATGGTTGTAAGTGGCGATAATGCAAAAGTAAAGAATTGTACCTTATTGTTGCTTGTTTTTTATTTGTTTCCTCACAGTATACCAAAGCTTGTCACTTAACAATCTCTACCCAGAGTTGTCGTTCCTTACACTCACTTCAGCTTATAAGGAACGATAACTCTGGGTAGAGATTGGTCACGGATAGCGTTACACATCTTATTTCAGAAACAAATTTCTACCAATGTTAAGACATCTAAATAATTCAAACACGTGTCCAACGTGCAGAGGACATTATTATTGTTACAATGCCACTGGCTTTCATTTATTACCTCACCTGGCCCGAAAGGTCAAGTGGGGTTATGCCATGGTGCAGCTTCTGTCCGTCTTCTAAAGAAACGTAAAAGGCCTACTGTCATTATATTTGGCTGGTAGCTTCCTTGGATGGAACCCAACAAAGTTTGCAAACAAAAATAACCTTGATCAACTTTCAAAGGTCAAATATGTGTAAAACTTCGGAAGAAGAACAGAAAGGCCTAGTCATGATATTGGGCTGGTAGATTCCTTGGACGGAGCCCAACACAATTTGCGCACAGAAATGACCTAAACCTAGCTACTTACAAGGTGACAGAGGTCAAATATGTCAAAAAACTTAATGAAAAAAATACTAAAAACATGATATTAGGCTGGTGGATTCCTGGGATGGAGTCTAAGAAAGGTTGCAAACAAAAATGATCTCGGGATACTTTCAAGGTCACAGAGGTCAAATATTTCTAAACTTCCAACAATTTCTCCTGAAGAACTAAAAGGCTTAAAGTCATGATATTAGACCGGTAGATTCCTTTGTTGGAGCCGACTTAAAGCTTGTGAATAAAAATAACCTTAACCTACTTTTAGGTCACTGAGGTCAAACGTCAAAAACTGCAAATGATGTCTCATGATAAACCAAAAGGTCTAGAGTCCCGATATTCATCCGGTAGCTTTCTAGGATGGATCATTACAAATTTTTCAAACAAAAATGACCTTGACTAGTGTGTGGTATTTGACAGACTTTGAATTAAAATATCGAATTCCCGCTGAACTCTTATGGCCACTGGGCCTCTTGTATTTTGATAACATCTTCAAAATACATTTATTTATCTGAAAATGTTATTATAAAACGATACATGAGACCTTTTAAGAAAGGGAGTTACACTTCATGTTACGAATTACAAAGCATGTTGCTTAAACACACTTTCGTATTCAAGAAAAGTTGGTTACCGGAGCGTTCATTTTCAGATAGAAGAATAACCACAGTATCCAATAAATATTTTTTATTAAAACAATAACAGAAGAGAAGCAACAATATCTGGTGACGATCGCGCAATATAATAGTTATGTTAGGCCGACTGTGGAAATCTGAAAGATAAAGAGAACAGATATGAGAATAATGTAGAAATTATTTGAAAATTAAATCTGATTCAAAATATGGTACAAAGTTAAAGTTATTTAGTTTTCGGTTTTTAATGACTGATTTTTTCTTCGATTTTTTTTTTTTAGTTTGATTTTTACCTGATTGTAAGGTAATTGAGTTTCGTGCTTTAGCTAAATAACTATATAATTATGATCCATCTTTGATTAAATTAAAATAAATAATTAATATTGACCCTTTTACAAAATCACAAACTTACCATTTGATATGCGTGTACTAGCTTGCTCTTTGTATCCAACTCTAACCAGTGATACTACCAGTGGCATTGGTCAGGATGAGGATGGCGAAGAAGAGAAGACCTGGAACAAGTAAGTTTATATTGAGCGTGTTTTGTGAGAACAGACTATTCAACCTCGTCAATAACAATGCCCGGTCTGTAGTGTACGATTAATGAGGTAATAACAGTTATGGATATAGGCCATCAAATCCTAATACGCGTAAAATGTGCAATATACAAAGAAAACGAAATGTTAAAACTAATGGATACAACGCCAAACTTGTCCTGTTGTGTTTTTGCTTACCATAGTTCAACAAGTTGCTTGTCTTGGCTCCTTGGGCGCTCTGCGCGGCGTAGTTGTAGTAGGTTCCAGGCCCGTACCCACCACCGTATCCAGCCATACCACCGTATCCAGGCTGGTAATACTGGGCCATGACGTAAGCCACCAGGCAGGGGATCAACACGAGCATCAGAGACTTGTTCATGGTGAGAGGTGGGCGGGGCGGGCGATGATTCTACAAGGAAAATATCGATAAATAAAAAAGGACGAGGAGAAACGTGTATGTCAAGGTAGACATAAGGTAAATAATTTACCTGAATCGCCTCTTATCTTGTGCATGTCTGAATACAATTGAAATTCATTTAGCTTTAGACTATATTTTTAATCAAAAACGTCGATGTTTTGTATTTCATTGGTGTAAATTACCTAAATATCCCGGACTTACATAAAAACTTAATGTGACCTGAATTCAAAGCTTGACCATCCAATACGTATATAAACAATCGATGCATTTTCAATATAATTGCGTTTGACCAAAGTCAATCAAGGATAGCGATAAATCTTCCACCTAGTATATTAGTTACCGGTACTAGCGAGGACCATATAGGAAACCGGGGACACAGTACAAGTTGATATAGCCAAAAGAATTCCTTCATTTATAAAATGACCATCTTTAATGAAAAGATTCTACTCCCTTTTCAACGATGTCTTTGATTTTTTAAATGCAATTGCTGTGTTAGGTGATTCGTACGAAAAATTAAGTGAATTTTAGTTATGAAAAATTCATGTGCACATTAACAAGGGGAGTTGAAAACTAAATACATATATGTAAGTAAAATATGAAACGTATAAAGAAGGCAGCGATTTCAAAAAATGTTGGATGTCAACAATAAAAAATTCTGAAACCACTATAAGTCAGTAACCACGATGCTTACCTTACACTGCAGAGGTAGACAGCCAGAATGATCTTCCGGAGAAACTGATGGTTATTTATATTGACCAGGGTGGTCATTGCGTGTCCAGAGCTATTACGACTAACCAGGTAACACTTCCTTTTTGTCCGGCTCAGCCGATCTCGAAGTGTCGTAACATTGCAGTGACCAGTACCAGGAAGACGGCGCCGTCTACTAGACACGACACGTCGGCGGCTCTTTGAAGGGTCATCCTGCTTGTCGGTACTTAACACGTTATAAACATTTGAAATATTTGATATACAACATTATTCATGTTATGTCTTCATCTTGAGAATGCTGATACATATTTGTTTTATTGAACATTTATTTACAATTATTGAATACAAATATAAAATATTGCACATATATTTACAATTATTAAATACAAATATGAAATATTGCACATATATTTACAATTATTGAATACAAATATAAATTATTGCACATTTATTTACAATTACTGAATACAAATATAAATTATTGCACATACATTTACAATTATTGAAAACAAATATAAATTATTGCACATATATTTACAATTACTGAATACAAATATGAAATATTGCACAAATATTTACAATTATTGAATACAAATATAAATTATTGCACATGTATTTACAATTATTGAATACAAATATAAATTTTTGCACATATATTTACAATTATTGAATACAAATATAAGATTTCCAACATAAATATAAAATAATTGAATATTGCAACGTTTGACACGCCATGACACACGTGCCCGGTATTTATTAGCTATTAAACCAATAAAATATCCTTAAAACAATTGCTTACAAAAAATATCAAAGTCAAACTGTAGCCTCAAGTGTCAAAAAACTAATCACCAAAATAAAACTGCACATTCACCGATTTCTTATTAGTCCACATTTACGTTTGAAATTACATTTCGGACTTGCACATATAGATAGCTTACTCTCGGTTTGTCTCATTGAAAAACAAAAATCCAACTTCATAACAGTTATGTCAAACGATCCATTGTAGCTCATGGTATCATTACTGCATTAAAACCTGATTGGAGATTGGATGTTAGGTGGGTGTCAGCCTTTTTTTTTTTAATCCCAACTTCGCACATGATTTCAGATATTCATATTTAAACAAACTAATTATACTTGTAACTTCCACTACCGACGCTATCCAATAAAAGTATATGAGTGCATTGGTATAGGAGTGAAATTACAAAACTAAATTTTGCTGTTTCTAAGGACTTAATTTGTCCCCTTTAGAAGTTCTGATTTGTGTTTTGAAAACATCAATGATTTTTACTAAAGTATCGAGGGATTTTAAGGAACTATTGAGGATTTGTACGGATTTGAGGACTGTTATTTAAACATGTTTTTATTATTTTCTCTCTCTTGCTGAATGAAGCGAGTCAAAACCATTCGAGGACATACAGAATGTATACAGTTTCCACTCGTGTGCCTCCATTTGTGATGTGAAAGCGTACATGTGTGTATGTGTGCCGGAAATGCCGGGTATGTTGGGGTACTTGCCTGCTTGTGATAGCGCGGATCTGATGCCGACTTATGCTGCTACCTCACTGAAATACCATATACCCAGCACAGCATTCAGCCCGTCACATTATGATGACAACGAATGAGCTAGTTGTTGCCTTAATCCTTAATGCTGAACGTTAAGCGGGGAATAACAACTCCCATTTGGATGGTTTTGGTATGCCACCCTTTGGACAGAACCCATTTCCTTCCTAACCTGAGCAAACGTTCAACATTAAAGCCAAAAGCGAGGTGTTGCCAAGCAAGGCGGTAGGAAAATAAAGGTAGTTAAAAGGAGAAAGAATCATAAAGAGCCCAATGCAACGGGTGCAGCAGATTTATTTTGGTCGCTTTTATGTCCCCAAGTTGAGGGCACACAAGAAAATCCTCAATACTTCAGTGGGTTCCCTCTTTAGGCGCCTCTTACGATACAAGCAGGTGTATTCTTTTCTCTAACACCGACTGCAGGGGTGCAGTTATATTTTTATTGATATTCATAATATGTGTATATATATTTGCACAGCTACATGTTTAAATGACTTGGAAATGATTTCATAATATTACATGAAAAAAGCGGTACAATAATGCTATATAATGTTCTTTATAAGCTATCAAGTCAAAGTCATTAAAATCAAATAAGCATGTTCTTGTTATATTTGCTTATGGCTAAAAAGAAAAAAAGTCATCAAATATTGTTCCTTTTCGCAACAAGCATGCATTTCATATTTTAGTCAAATCCCACATTGAAAAAACAATAGCTATGCCGCCGAATTAGGTTGAGTTCAAAAATTTCAGGGGAGTTATTGGACGCAAAACGAGCAGTGAGTGTAAATGACTAGTGTTTCGACTGATTTAGAGTCGAGACACCAGTAATTTACACTCTTTGCTTGACAAAGGAAACAGGCTTTTTCGTAAGCTCGCAAAATATCTTTTCAATTCCTGTTTGTGTTTAAAACAAACTTAGCCTTCACTGACAATGATATTTAATCAATCAGTAACATCTATGAACATGCATTGGGAGAAATTATCAAGTATCTGACACTAAATACTTCAAGAAGATCTCCAGCAGATGAACCAATAGTGCAAAACATATGCACACTGGGAGAAACACTGGATCAGAATAGGTCTACCAAATTAATAAAACAGTTTTTTCTCTCTCTATTTTATGTTTTATTATCCCGAATACAATAGGGAATACCAGGATGGGGCCTGATCCCTGTACATAGTACATGTAGCATCTTCATTCTCTGACTCTCTCTATTTTGTACGCTCATCTTCCTCACCCTCACTAAACAGTCTTAAAAACCAGAGAAAGACATCGAAGAGATCATCTGTAAGAACATCGAATATGAAAAACTAATATTTAAAAAAAACAGGGAAGCTTATTAAATGATGTCCATCATAAGAATATAATTCCAAAATCTTGATATCACAACCTTTACAGTATTCAAGTAACTAGTTCGGACACATCCTTACTTCACGAGTGCCATTTGGTTTCCATATAAGATAAGATTCATCGAAAAAATGAAGGGGATCAAAGGAAGCGAACTAAACTTGTCCCGGGACTAAACGATCTTTCATATCTGGTGAGACCAAAACGTCTAAAAATGCCAACCATATCGGACAAAAGTCAGCGGGGGATATGCTAGTCTACAAGCTGATTCATGGAGTTTATGACAAAGACGTTACCGGTTTCCTTACACTACGGAAGGGTGCTACATATTAGTCATATACACAACTTTGTAAAACTGTGGAGAGGAAGAACAGTTTTCAGATATATCTGCAGAAAATATCGTGTGAGTTCCTAATTTGAACTGTTCCAAAGATGTATCAATCAAAACAATAGAAAGAAAAACAATTCTGATTTGGTACTTAATAATGTTAAAATAATAAATAGATACACATAGATGTGTCATCACAGTTAGCTTTGTTGATATCTTATGCTTCTGTCTTGTGTAGAGGATATGCATTCCCATGTCAGCAATTTGTCATTGAATATCACTAAGTTTGGAATACATCCTAATCGGACACGATTGATAAATAACGACGTACATTCTGAAAAATGCTGTGTTTACCGAACTGAATACATAATTCTGATAAAATATTTCAGATTCACATACATATAACTAAAAACATCGCTTGTTGCTTTAAACAAATTATCGATTACATGGCATGAATAGTACAAATCACAAAAGCAAACATGATGAGGAAACAAGCACAGTGTACTTTTATAAATCCTTCTCATCTTTCTGACAAACTAGTGGCCTTATAAATGACTAATATCGGATAATGCTACAGGTACATGTAAAAAAACCGAAGAAACAATATCTGGTAAGGGAATGTAACAACACATACATTGATATTCCATGAAATAGAGAGTAATTGTATTATTATGGAAAAAAACAAACATTTGAGAAGTTTTAACAATTCCATTTAATCAACAAATTGATAAATGTATTTTTTTGTGTGTTTTTTTTAAGAGCAATTTTGTGATATTTTATCTCTGGATTTTACAGTAGACAAATGATATGCAAACTGCCATTAAAACCTGAGTGTACATAATGCTTAACACTGTTGATCGAGTGAGTGCAATTACCTAATATATTATCTTAAGTCATCTTAAATTACCTACATCTCTTATCCCATCTGGCCCTGTTGTAGTTAAGATTAAAAAAATCAATGTTGTTATTAGTTTATGTTTTTTTCCCCAATATATTCATTTTACTTTTCTGGCATTGTCGTTCATCTCCAAACTATATTTTGGCTTGTTTGTAAATCTTCGAGGAAATGAATATGTTCATTTCTAGAGGTAATGAAATAATTCATAGATTTTATATTGGACACAGGGTTAAAGTTTCCTTCTCCATTTTGATTCTGATAAATATCTGCAGATTATCTTCATCTGCTGTGTCAACTCCAAATAACAATATTACTCATACTTGTATTACTTAATCTAACCGTTTAGACTGAACACGGGACTTTTGAAGTCTCTCAACTATTTCTACATTTTGAGCTGTTGCGACGTTTTAGTCTCCATATAACAATACATTAGTGGAGAGTTGGTAAGAGAGGCGATACAGGCATTTACGTCTGGGAGTTTCATGCTTGTGACCATGTTCTAGGAAATGTTCGTTTGTTTCGAAGGTAGCAACGCAAGAAAAGACGTCCCAGGACTATCGACAAGACTTTTCTGGAGGTAATAATAGTTCAAAGAACTACATTCCATGCGTAGCCTGGTAAGGTAGATCTATCCAATACAGGACATGTTATTGTAATAGGAAGGAATAGCAACAACATTTCTGTTTAAACAGTTAGTTTAAACTGTAGTATTTATTTCTGGTAATATACAATACATCATATTTTCAATACATAATCATCAACGATTAGGAATCAAGTACCAAGTACTTATACAATGTCCGTTTAAACATTCCTTAGGTTTAGTGATAGACGAATCAATTTTTATTGTTTCTTACAATTGATTCCATAATGTAATGGTAGAAGGCAGAAAGGACTTATTGATATACAGATATTTTATAGCGTATAAGTAGAATGTTATTTGGATATCTAGTTCGGTAATCGTGAATGTCGGAGTTTGTTTGAAGATGTGTTTGGGTCATCGCTTGTTAAATGAGTTTTATAAATTATTCATTAGTAGTTTCGTTTGGAGCAAAGTTAATAAATTCTGCGGTCCCTTACTTAAACCCCACTTATTAAGTTGGCACATTATATAAATTAGTCCTTAAACCGACAGTAAATTAACAATTTACGTATACTAGAAACCTTACATAATATTCAGCACCTAACATTTTACATTTTTATTTCATATGATGTTCACAAAATATAAATTTCTTATATACTTCCCAACTGCAAGTTTTCTGTAAAGGAAATGCTCGCGGTAAATACATCTATCAGTTCACAAGATAAGACGTCCTGTAGAATTATTAAAGTAAATACTGATGACAATACATTAGACGTTTATAGAAAACAGTAACTTAATCGACATTAGAAATAACCAGCCAGTTGAGGAGACATCAACAGGGTAACCATCGCTGCCCCCGCCCCCACGCCCCCTCCTTTTTTCCTTGATGTTGTGCAAGATTTAAACTGTGTGTTGGTGTCAGGTATTGTTCCGGCGAATACAATGTCCGTTTTAGGATATGTATCTCATGAGTCACTTTCATCTTGTATACGCTGAGGTGGGGAAACGTGTATCTTTTTCAGGGAAGAAAGCTCACCACTTCACACTGATCGCGTCAACAGTATTGCCATTCCTCTTTAGCATCATATTGATGATAGTGCGTTGTATTGGGTTTACCATAAGAAAGTATGGGAAAGTAATCATTAATTCCTGTGTAATGAAGGCAGACAAATCTCAACCTCCGGGAGAAGATTTGTGATAAGCACAAGCACTCTAACCCTTGATCGAGATTTTTCTGCCTTCATTACAAATATATGCTATGCTGTAAGCGTACCTATTTTACTGGTGCACGTATTCTAATAAACTTATAAATTAACACTTTTCGCGTTTTTTATATTACGCTCAATTATGGTGGTTCAAATTGAAGTTTTTATATATACAAACGGTAAGCCAATATATCAATGCACTAAACGGTTAACATTCCACCATACGCTAAAAAAACCGCTTTAATGAGTGTGAATTTTACTATACAAAAATAGTATATAATCCTGCTATTTATACACAATGTTTATCTATAACATGCCTGTTCAGATAGTCAAACATCAACCGCCTGTTTAGGTCCTTGTGGTGTGTTGACTCAGTGGTGTAAACCTTTCTGTTTTACTTAACCTTGCACCATGTGCATATATGACTGTACTAAAAAATAAAGATACTTCTTTGCTTATATACTCGCGTAAGAAATTCCTTTTATATACATTGCCTAATTTTTATATAGCAGTATCGTTTATTTGTTTAATTATCTACATTTTCAGCAATTTTAGTTGCAGTTTGAATTAAACTGAAGACAGTTTCATATGTTTAAGTAAAATTGATGTAGCATTCATTACACTAAACAACTTTCCAATGATTTCATTGTGCGAAGGCAAAGATAAAAATTCAAATATTTACATAATAAATTAAGTTTTATTCTCAGCAACATATTATGATTCACGCAATATGACAGTATCAGGAAGTCTGTGGAATTCTGAAAGAACAAGAAAAAAGATGTGATTAGAACACGTTTTAAATTGATTCATAACATACGCCTAAAGAAACAGTAGCAAAAATCGTTTTTTATTTGTATTTTGTTGTTTTTTTGTTAAACTTTATCAAAGCTTGATATTGTCCAGAATTTGATGGCTGTAGTCAGTCCATTACACGTTTGAGAGGGTACCTAAAACGGAATACTTTTCAAATGTATAATGCAGTGAACTTTACTAATAATCAAATTAATGTAGCTTAAAACAAATAGAACAATTTATCTGCCTGCTTCTTTTATGTTGTTTAAAAAATGGAAAAAAGGAAAAATGGAAAATATTTTCCAGGAAGTGTTACATTATAATGAAATGAAATTTTCACATTTTTCTAATATATGAATAGAAGCTGTATCAATCAAACATTCAAAAGACTCACCATTTGATCACTTGTACGGGGAGGGGAGCATGTCAGTATCGGGAGGCTACGTCTAACCAGTGATACTTCCGGTAGCGTTGGTCAGGATGAGGATGGCGAAGAAGAGAAGGCCTGGAACAAAAACATTAGTTATCAGTCTCGCACTTTCTCAAATTCAGGCATAGAGGCAAAAGTAAATAGGGGAAGTCAAATGAAGGTAATAACGTAATTCATATCTTATTTTTGATGTTTTAAATACAGCATATGTAACAGTTAGCAGAACGAATATTACTTTTATTTTCGCATTCATTTTTTAAGCGACAACATCATTATTGAAATATATTGTTTTTTCTAGAACTGTTTATTCTAAATACAATTTTTTTTTGCGGAGCTCATGTTTTTTTTTTTTTTTTTTATGTAGTCATAATTTTTAATTTTTCAACTTTTCGGCTGTATTTTTGAATATTATAAAATGGTAATAAATACATATTCAGTAAAAATGAGCGCACATATAAGAACATACAAATCCTTACCATAGTTCAACAAGTTGCTTGTCTTGGCTCCTTGGGCGCTCTGCGCGGCGTAGTTGTAGTAGGTTCCAGCCCCGTACCCACCACCGTATCCAGCCATACCACCGTATCCAGGCTGGTAATACTGGGCCATAACGTAAGCCACCAGGCAGGGGATCAACACGAGCATCAGAGACTTGTTCATGGTGATTGGTGGGCGGATTCTGGTAACAACCACAAATATTATTAGAATAGTTTAGGTTATGAAATTAAGCACTATTGAGGTAAGAGTTCTTGTTGGCTGTGGTCTCATGTCCTACAATAAATAAATAATAACGCGACGCTTTTGATAAGCAACCCTGACTGGCACAAGACTAGAGCAAGTTTGAAACTTTACATTTGAGTAAAAATGATGTATTTTTCTTCTAAGGATATAACAATATAGTTAGGTGCTAGTATTCATACAAAATAGTTAAATGCTTAGTGAAGTTTGTATAGTGCATGATGACGAAATTATGAAGATGCTTCAGAAGAAAAACAGATAGAAAGTAGAGCAGTGAAATCTTACTTACCTTACACTGCTAGGGCAAACAAGTGAATGGTGAGTTGATTTCTAGCTGGGCTATTTATACTTACAGGACTGGTCACTTTGTGTTCGTGGCCGTCACATGTCTGACCATCAGTGCTTCCGCCTTTCGCTGTGCTGCCGAAATGTCGTAACATTACGTATAGAAGTCTGACCTTTCACAGAAATCTTCGGGTAGTATGATTGAGTTTTGTATTGAAATGTAAAAATATGATGTGAAACTATGTCATTCGGGTATATCCGTAGACATTTATGTTATAACATTACCCTCTTAAAGGGGATGCATGTTTTTTCATATGTAATACAGTTAAAAGGAAGATCAGGTGCAGAGAAATGGTAAAGGTTAGGTGATTTGTAACACATATACAATAAATGAAAATTGTAGAATATAGAGTAAAGGGTTTTTATTCATTTTTTTCCAGTATAAAGCAATCATAAATAATATTTCATACAAGAAAGATAAAATAAATAAAATAAAATAATCTTAAGGTAAGCGTGAATTGGCTCAAATAATAAAATAATTAAACTATTGGAAGGGTATTATACCACCTAATTAAGCACAACATGGCCACACTGCCTATTTTCAAGTCAGTAATGTATAATATCGTTGTTATCTTTGAGGACAGGAATAAAGTGTAGAGTTAATACTATAAAATTATTTAAACCGAACCTAAGCTCGTCACATTGTTGAACCAAAAACTAACTCACATCATTGTTTATCCGAATACTAACTCATAGCGTAGTTTAACACAAAACTAACTCACATCATTGTTTATCAGAATACTAACAGATAGCGTTGTTTAACCAAAACCTTACTCACATCATTGTTTAGCGGAATACTAACTCATAGCGTAGTTTAACAAAAAACTAGGGGACATCATTGTTTATCCGAATGCTAACTCATAGCGTAGTTTAACCAAAAACTAACTCCCATCATTATTTATCGGAATACTAACTCATAGCGTAGTTTAACAAAAAACTAACTCACATCATTGTTTATCCGAATACTAACTCATAGCGTTGTTTAACCAAAAACTAACTCATATCATTGTTTATCCGAATACTAACTCATAGCGTTGCTTAACTAAAAACGAACTCACATCATTGTTTATCCGAATACTAACTGATAGCGTAGTTTAACCAAAAACTAACTCACATCATTATTTATCCGAATACTAACTCATAGCGTTGGTTAACCAAAAACTAACTCACATCATTGTTTATCCGAATACTAACTGATAGCGTAGTTTAACCAAAAACTAACTCACATCCTTGTTTATCCGAATGCTAACTCATAGCGATGTTTAACCAAAAACTAACTCACATCATTATTTATCCGAATACTAACTCATAGCGATGTTTAACTAAAAACTAACTCACATCATTGTTTATCCGAATACTAACTCATAGCGCTGTTTAACCAAAAACTAACTCACATCATTGTTTATCCGAATACTAACTCAAAGCTTTGTTTAACCAAAAACTAACTCACATCATTGTTTATCAGAATACTAACTGATAGCGTTGTTTAACCAAAAACTAACTCACATCATTGTTTATCCGAATGCTAACTCATAGCGATTTTTAACCAAAAACTAACTCACATCATTATCTATCGGAATACTAACTCATAGCGTTGTTTAACTAAAAACTAACTCACATCCTTGTTTATCCGAATACTAACTCATAGCGTTATTTAACCAAATCCTAACTCACATCATTGTTTATCCGAATACTAACTCATAGCGTTGTTTAACCAAAACCTTACTCACATCATTGTTTATCCGAATACTAACTCATAGCGCTGTTTAACCAAAAACTAACTCACATCATTGTTTATCCGAAAACTAAGTCATAGCGTTGTTTAACCAAAACCTAACTCACATCATTGTTTATCGGAATACTAACTCATAGTGTTGTTTAACCAAAACCTTACTCACATCATTGTTTATCGGAATACTAACTCATAGCGTTGTTTAACAAAAAAATAACTCACATCATTATTTATCGGAATACTAACTCATAGCGTTGTTTAACTAAAAACAAACTCACATCATTGTTTATCCGAATACTAACTCATAGCGTTGTTTAACAAAAAACTAACTCACATCATTGTTTATCCGAATACTTACTCAAAGCGTTGTTTAACCAAAAACTAACTCACATTCTTGTTTATCCGAATACTAACTCATAGTGTTGTTTAACCAAAAACTAACTCACATCCTTGTTTATCCGAATACTAACTCATAGCGTTGTTTAACAAAAAACTAACTCACATCATTGTTTATCCGAATACTAACTCGTAGCGTTGTTTAACCAAAAACTAACTCACATCATTCTTTATCGGAATACTAACTCATAGCGTTGTTTAACTAAAAACGAACTCACATCATTGTTTATCCGAATACTAACTCGTAGCGTTGTTTAACCAAAAACCAACTCACATCATTGTTTATCGGAATACTAACTCATAGCGTTGTTTAACAAAAAACTAACTCACATCATTGTTTATCCGAATACTAACTCGTAGCGTTGTTTAACCAAAAACTAACTCACATCATTGTTTATCGGAATACTAACTCATAGCGTTGTTTAACCAAAAACTGACTCACATCATTATTTATCGGAATACTAACTCATAGCGCTGTTTAACCAAAAACTAACTCACATAATTGTTTATCCGAATACTAACTCATAGCGTTGTTTAACCAAAAACTAACTCACATAATTGTTTATCCGAATACTAACTCATAGCGTTGTTTCACTAAAAACTAACTCACATCATTGTTTATCCGAATACTAACTCATAGAGTTGTTTAACTAAAACCTAACTCACATCATTGTTTATCCGAATACTAACTCATAGCGTTGTTTAACCAAAAACTAACTCACATCATTATTTATCGGAATACTAACTCATAGCGTAGTTTTACCAAAAACTAACTCACATCATTGTTTATCCCAATACTAACTCATAGCGTTGTTTAACCAAAAACTAACTCACATAATTGTTTATCCGAATACTAACTCATAGCGTTGTTTAACCAAAAACAAACTCATATCCTTGTTTATCCGAATACTAACTCATAGCGTTGTTTAACCAAAAACTAACTCACATCATTGTTTATCCGAATACTAACTCATAGAGTTGTTTAACTAAAACCTAACTCACATCATTGTTTATCCGAATACTAACTCATAGAGTTGTTTAACTAAAACCTAACTCACATCATTGTTTATCCGAATACTAACTCGTAGCGTTGTTTAACCAAAAACTAACTCACATCATTATTTATCCGAATACTAACTCATAGCGTTGTTTAACCAAAAACTAACTCACATCATTGTTTATCAGAATACTAACTCATAGCGTTGTTTAACTAAAAACTAACTCACATCATTGTTTATTGTTTATCCGAATACTAACTCATAGCGTTGTTTAACCAAAAACTAACTCACATCCTTGTTTATCCGAATACTAACTCATAGTGTTGTTTAACCAAAAACTTACTCATATCATTGTTTATCGGAATACTAACTCATAGCGTTGTTAAACTTAAAACTAACTCACATCATTGTTTATCCGAATGCTAACTCATAGCGTTGTTTAACAAAAAACTAACTCACATCATTGTTTATCCGAGTACTTACTCATAGCGTTGTTTAATCAAATACTTACTCACATCATTGTTTATCCGAATATTAACTCAAAGCGTTGTTTAGCAAAACACTAACTCATAGCATTGTTTAACAAAATACTAACTCATAACAATGTTTATCCGAATACTTACTTATATCAATGCGTTAAGCGAAATTAAACTTATGGCATTGTTAAAATCGAAACCAATTTCATAAAACTGTTAATTCCAAAATAAAACTAGTAAATCCATCAGAAAATATCATTGTCGTTAAATAAAAAATAAATAAATAAATATACAACATTTGATATATCGCCCTATCTAGCTAACATAAGCCACACTAAAGCGCTTTACAGTACATAGATATTCAATTTTATACAGTCAATACAATAAGCATATATACCAATCAAAACAATTTTGAGGAACTACTAGTCCTATGCCACCTGGCTAATATCTCCCTATGTGTGTATGCCTGTGTGTGTGCTGGATATGTATTGTGTTCTGTTTGTAGTGGGACCGTCCTTCCAACGGTATCATTTATAGTGCCACCTCACTTGAATGCTACAGTACAGATACCGCAACACCCACCTCAGACCATTGTATACTCCACCTGGGTTGTTGGAGTTGTGTCGGCAGGAGAAACACACTTTCTCTAATATTCCATGCGTTAAGAGGAACATTTAACATTTAATAAGCAAGCTCAATCTTTGATTTCTAAAAAGGTTTTAGTTTCACTCATGAATGATAAATCAAGAAAGAATGAAACAGATTTAGGTCACAAAATAAGTAAGATAATACATATAATGAAATGACAAAAAGAATTGACAACTAATTAGACTTGTAAAGGTTAAAGTGATTATATTTGGAAGTGTAATTTTAATATCCAAATATCAATATATAAGGTGAACCATGTGTGTTTATCAGTTAACTCAACCATTGTTTAAGCAACATCTTAATTAGTACATTAACCAGAACCGGTGGCATTTACATTATGTAGCATCCAGGTAAAATATACTGAAGACTGGTTTGTTTTTCTCCAGGTGGGTTACAAACATTGTAAAGGAGGTAATTGATCTAGAACTGAGGTAGAATAAACCCAATAGTGTTGAATTTGTTTTAAAGCCATTTTTTCCTCAATAGAAATCACCAGTGACGGACACTCGGATTATTATCAAATAAAACTTCATGATAAAACGCATTTTCTTACAGTCATATACTTTTTTTGCTGTGCTCTGTAATAAATATCTTTTATTATTTTATAATACAAACACTTAATCTCTAAACTATAATAGTTTTATTCCATTACTCTGTATTGTATTTACTCTGTTATTCCGTAAAATTACGTATATTTCTTATATTAATTACTCTAATATAATAATTTATCTGTTCTATAAATTTGTACTCTGTTATGCATGATTTCTTTCGTATTA